CTTAGCTCATCATCAGTTAAATCTGGTCACTATATTTGTCATCTGCTTCTTTCCAAAACCATAACCCGCTTTCAACCATGTATGTTCTGATGTAACTCATTTTACCTGTCTTCAGTTACTTTTAGTTTTATCATAAATTCTTAATTAGTCCTTAGCTCATCATCAGTTAAATCTGGTCACTATATTTGTCATCTGCTTCAGATTTCAACCTTTCTTCCATTTTACTTTTATGCATGTGATACGTGTTTTTTTGTCATTCAACATATTTTTTCACAACAGCAGAAGATCTTTTTAACCCTTTCACTGTGGCTGGGATGTATGTTTTTCAGTGCACTGGGAAATATATACATCCCAGCCACAGTGAAAGGGTTAATGACATATTTTCTGTCACTTTCTTGCGCCACTCTGGTCTATACTGATACAATAATCCAACTATTGATAGTGATGATGGTAAGAGTCATATTGGGATTGATTGAACTGCTTCTTGCCCAAAAATTTAGCTATGATATGCATGTAACTTTCTATGTAGTTGATAATGCTGTCAGAAACTAGCCTATATGCTTTCCTGAATAGACAAGTTATAGCATCAATGATCTTTGTGAGCATGACCTGTGGAAATTTTGAAATTATATTAAGACTTGAAATAAGTAAGTCCAAAATAGAAATGCTCGGGAACAACGGAAGAGGAACTATCATAATAAATGAAAGAAAAGGAATACACCTGAACAGTAAAGACAACAGCTACAAAATGGCCCTTATTTGTTTGTAGCTAATCACAATGGGATTTGTGCTGTGCTCACCATGGGTATTGAAACCTGGTTTTTAACATTATAAGCCTTCAGACTTAGTGCTGAGCAACTAGGGGGCAAAACGGTCTTTGGTAACCATACAAAATGTCATACAACATTTCGCAAAAATACTGGTTAGGAATCATCTAGTTTTGGCATTACATTTTGAAATTTCATAAAGTAATTTGGTGTGTAGCATTTAACAACACATTTGGCACACTCCACTTTTATTACCTGTCTACCATAATTACACTTCTCTATTATTGTTTTATACATGTTTGAGTCTTCATCTGTCATTATTTACCTGTACTGTAATCCATGCATGTCTTCGTTGTTCTGAAATCCTTTCAATATAACATCAACTCCAGGTTTATTCCAGTTTTTCCAGCAATGATACTCTCTGGTGATGGCTGTTGATATATTGCATAAGCAAGTGCTATAAGACTTGTTCCTCACACCCAAATGTAATTACTTTCTTATATGGAAACTGAACTTGGTGTATTTGTGTCTGTAACAGCATTGGGACTAAATACTATTAGTATAGATGGTAATAATTGGTGTGCCATCACCATTGGTATCTCCTGCTTCTCTTTCCTTTGCTTCGGCATCCTTTATTGTATGAAACATTTGCTTTCCCATGTTTGAAACAAACAGAATATATGGATGAAACTTTTATTATAATTTCATGACAATGAAATATTGGTGTGTATTGGCTCCTACTTATTATCTGTGGACTTGAAACTACTCAAATGTAATATTATTCTATAAAAAAAGTTTGTCTGAAAATATGAATAAATGTAATATGAAATTTCTATTTTTTTATCATACATAATTTTCAGAGTGAAAGGAAGGAACTATAACATTTTGCTATACCATTAACTACATTAAAAACATTCTTCATATTTTGTAAATATTGTTCAAAATACATTTCTGGTTCTTTCCTTACCTGATGAACGTATTATGAGACCTGACTGGAACTCCTAAGATTGTGAAAATTCCATTGAAATGAGCATGTCCTCCAACACTACTGGCAACACCCCAAACTGCTAAATCTTAACTGTCTAAGTTATCAATGTCTTCCACATCTACACATGTTTTTGTGGGTCTGATCCTGTTTTAACAGTTTCAAAGCAAAACTCACAAACAAATTTGAATGTTGATTTGAGATCTCTGGATTCTGATGATAATTGTAGCCAGCCATGTGTACACCTAATAAAAACAAACAAGATTTCTTTATATCTGCATCAACACTAATCAATATACAAAATGGAAAACAATCATAATAGTAAATTAATAAATAATATTCTATGGGAAACAATGTCTCCTGGTGGGAGATACATTTACAAACTCACATGCTAATATCCAGGATGTGATTCCCTCCTGGTCGACTGAGTGCAGATGGCCTATTGTGTACCTTTGCATGAAAAAAATAACTGCTATTACAAAACACTAAGAAGTTTGTTTCATAACATGAATTCTTTATTTATAAAGATAATATCTACCTGTGAATTTCCAAGCACCTTATTTCTCTGATATATTGTATATCAATGATTCTCCATCGATAAAGTAAATGAAGTCCAGTGTTGTTGGCTAGATTAGGCTTTCCGTGATGAAAGGTAGCTCCATCACATTGTTTGAACTCATGGATTCTGAATTCAACTCATAAGTAACAAAAAAAAACATACGTTCAGAAAGTAAAATTGATTCAAAACATAGCTTTGTGTATGGAAGGAATAACAACTACCATATAAAACCAAGATGTATGTTAACTTACCATGATGACTGTGTGTAACCTTCAATTAGTTTAATTTTATTCTCAGCTTTCTTTCCATTTTTCTATCATATAAATGCCACTGTTACTCTTTTAACATTATTTGGCCAACCTCATGCTTTCTTTTTTGCTAGTACCATTTTTTCAAGTCTTGACAATGGGTGTGCTTGTGCTAAGGTAAACTATGAAAAGATGTTTTCTATCTTGCTCAGTGTCCAGTTGTATGACCACCACCATGTAAATGAAAGGTCAAGGATGACTGGATGAGGACCCATCTTGGAGAAGAATAACTTATCTCCCAACTATATTTAAAAATCCAGTTAAGCAATTTCAGCATCATACCAAATTCAGAAAGGATATACCTTTTAGAAAATCAGTGGCAGCCTTGAAAGACAAAATAGTCCCATATTGTGTGAATGTTATGTACATTCGATTTTTGTTACTTTTCTAATGTCCTTGAAATTTTAGGGCATTGTATTCTTTCATCATTGTGGAATTCTTTTATGTTTTATTCTACAGATTTCGGGCACTAGAAAGAAGCACTGGAAGTTGCTTTTAGAAGAAAAAAAATTAGGATTCCTTTGGCCAGGAGATTCTGAGATTGAGACAAAAAAAGAACCACTGAATGAAAAAAGAACGGTGTTTGGTGGTGAAAGATCTTCAGGTGACTGAATGCGACTACATTTATATATAAAGTGTGTGACACAATACAATTTTAGAAGACATTTATCATTTGTGTACCTTTTAGCATAAAGTTTTGTGCATTTTCTTTATATAATGTAAAAGATTTTTGTAAAAGCAACTTTTCTGTTACTACTTGAACTTTTTTTCAAATCTTTATGTTTTCATCTTATTCAAGGCTGGATGTATATTTCATAAATTAAATATGCTTTAGTATTATTAGGCTCAGAATATAAATATTGAAATCCTTTTCTTGATCCAGATGAAAAACAGCTAGATCCAAGGCCTCAACATTTATCGCAGTATGATGACAGAGTTTTTCTTACACCCCAACATGCCAGAGGACGGCAGCTACTGACAGTTCGTAATCCCTCCTCCAACATTTTACAGGTATAAAACTAAGTATATTTTTTACTCTAAGCGAAATTGGTGAAACCAACGTATATCATTCATATGTTAATTCCTTTGCTGGTAAAGTGTGATTTGTACATCAGTAGTTTGTGTGATACTACATACAGGATTTGCACAGGAGTTAAAAACCTGGAAAGATATAGAAAATTAATAATTATAAAACCGGTTCTGGAAATCCTGGAAAATGTGATGTGTATTCATTAGTTTTGGAAAAATCAGGGAAAATAATTTTAACCTCATTCATATAGAAACTATACACATTTGATTTTGGTTTGTCAGTGCATTTTGTTCATTAATAGCCCATTCTAACTATATATCTGGATAAACATTGTCTCTTCAAAATGTTCTCCAAAAGTGTCATAACTTATTGACATTTTGAGCAGAAGCATTTACATTTAAGTTCGTATTCATAAATTAAATGAGCCATGAGGCAAAGCAGTTTATTGTGGTAAATGATGATTGATGTTTAATTATGATTTCTGATTTGTTTCTTTTTATTTTAAATTTCAGAATTGACATAGCATTTTCATCTAATTCTTTTTATTACCACAAGTTTTAGTAACAGATCTAAAAAAAAGTTCCTTCAGCAGTGTATTCTACTAAATTAGCAAGATAAAAGTACACATTAAAAGAAACTTTCTGAAATTAAGTTACAATCGTATGTTCCTACTAAATTAGCATTATAAAAGTACACATTGACAGAAACTTTCTGAAATTAAGTCACAGTCATATGTTCCTACTAAATTAGCAATATAAAAGTACTTATTAACAAAAACTCTGAAATTAAGTTGCAATCATATGTTTCAGTTAATTATGTAGCTACACTGTTATTCTTGTTAAAAACAAGAGAATCTAGAAAGAGGGAAAATTTATTGTCTTTGTTTTCATGCAAAGTCTCTTAACTATTCTCTGAGTATCTGTTCTATACAACCTTTGTAAGTTTTAGTTGTCTGGTTCTGGAGAGTTTTGAAAAACTTGTGGAATTTCATGTAGTGCAAAGCGTATGAACCCTGAAGTCACAGTAGGACTGGCAATAACTTTTACTAACTTCAGTTTCTGAGTAAGAATATAATAGCATTTAAACATGTGCCTTGTATGCCACATACCATTGCCATATAGGGCTAGCAAATATATTTTGTTAAAATGTATTATCAATTGTAATGTGATGTAATATCATACAAACTATTGATCTATGCCACATACGAACTCAGCCGACTAACATAATTTCTGTATGAGATATAGATGTCTAAATGTACCTTTTTTCTGATATTTCTTTCATAAGAAGTTAGGATCTCTGATTTCATCAGATACGTACTATTATAATGATCAGTATAAAAATGTAGACATTTCATTTCAAATAACATTTTTTCCTTTAAATTTTGTTGGAAGCGTTGCAAAGTAGTAAACAACTACCCTCAATATGATTAGAAGCTGTGAGTTTATTAAAGTATATTAGATGTTATTCTAGTATTTTTATAGAAAATTGTCATATACCTTTGTATTCAGTACTATCTGTAGTGAGTCGCTAGTGACTAAAATTATAACCTTGGTGAAATCACAGTGGGTACTAGAAGCTAAACCCATTCTGTTAAAGTATAATTAATACCTAGAATTTGCAGAAGACTAGTCGTAATTGCGAGTTGTGTTTACTGAAGATGTGGCAGTACAGCAATATGATACGATTTATGTATTTTCATGAAACTTGGTAAGCTTTCAGTAAACATTATAAGTCTTTTGTACAGAACATATCAGAATTTCTAGTGAAGTATTTTTGCTAAAAATTAATGAATCAATAAAGAAAGATGAGTATTGAGTACTACATGTTGTCTTCATTTCTTTTATCAAAACCATTACATGCAAAGTAACATAACAAATTAACAATAGCAAAATAGATAGACAGATATTAAACTTTTTTTAGTTTACTTTCTCTTACCAGCTGTCATTTAGTTGATCAAACCAGAGAATTTGAAAAAGCACTGTAAAGTGTGAAGTACTTAAATAAGACAATATAGATAATAAATTACAGACAAAACTGTCAAACTTTGCAACAAACCATTGGTAAAACTTGTGTATCTAGATAAGTATCGTATCACGGCATCAATATCTAGATACGTATCATATTGACTACTATGATGGGATACGTGTCCCTAGTGTTTACTTAATATTAGTGAAATTGGAAAAAGCTATGTCAGTATTGAAATAGGCGTATTTCTCTTTCAGGTCTATGAAAGCTACTTTGAAAGTCCATTATTATCCTCTTATCGACTACCTTCTGATTGTGGTAATATCATTCTAACTGATAAGCTCTTGTTTTTAACATTACCAGATAACTTGGGAGAAAATAAACCAAGACATAAATTAAAAATACTGTCATGTCAACTGTCAGAGGTGTCAGGAGAAGGAGCTAAAAAGGTATTGTTTGTATCAAATAATTTTTTGTGATTGTTAACAATATTACAAGCTATGTATTTGTTTAACATGAAAACTGAAATATAAAACTGAATGTTGCACATATGTAACAAAAAAGAAATCTTACTTACAAAATGCAGATGCCATTAACTCCATCATGTTTGTTGAGCAACTTTCTGGTATCGAGTGAACATTTGCTTATAAAATTTCCAAAATGTAAATACAAATAGTAGTTCTAACTCTATTTCAATAATTTTTTTCACTCAAAAATATTGTAGAATTGATATTTTTTAATCTTTCAACATATGTTTTTGCGTAAGTTGCAAGGAAAAATTGAAAAATGTTTATAGTAAATGACTTTGAACATTATACAGGCTGTGAATTCTCTGTTTTCAGAGAACTCTATATGACCAAACTTGTAACAATAGACTTGACGTCTTTGTGGGGGTCATGGCTGCAAAAAAAGAATATTTTGAATAGAAAAATGAAGCATTATGTTTTTTAGTTGTTTTTAAAGTTATCTGTTTCCTTTTCAAAAAAATTGTACTTTTTATGTCTCAAGACTGCAGAGGGATGAAGCAGTGTTTAAAGGGAAATGGTGTTTTTACATCAAACTTCCCATCAATTGTTTTGTAAGATTCAGTTGAGAAGTCAGAAGCTTATTTTTTACCATTAAAGTATGTTTGATTTTTATGAGTCACATTTGTATGTAAGCGTTTATATAAATCATTATACAAACTAAATGAAAGTTATTTTCTCATGTTTCTTTCTTTAGAGAGAAGCTTATGAAGCTGAAGTTCAAACTTTTTCCTTTCCTGGGGAGATAATTTCTTGCCATAAAAAGTCTTCTTCTGTGATGTGTACTGACAGTCTTGTTGAGCAACTGTCAGATCTGTCTTGTCATTATGACTTCCCTGATGATGTTACTGTCAAATTTGCTACGGTGACTAAAAGTGGAAAGGGAATTCCTAGACCTTCAAATATAAACTTGAAAAAAAATAGTCATCGTATTCACAAAATTGAAAATGAATCGGGTTTAAAGAAGGATCGGGAACGGCTAGCAGTTGTTGGAAAGAGAAAACATTCGACCTTAGAGAAGTGTTTTATTTTAGAAAATCTTATAAGTGGCTTTTACATAGTCACAAAACACTGTGTATTTGAATGCAGACCACGGTAAGTTTATCTTATGTTTTAATTGTTTTGTAAATTTAGAAGAGTCATAAAAAAGAAACAAGAAATAATTACATATTTCAAAACATACATACCTCTGCTGACACTAATATCTATTTCTTGATCTTCATCTTTACCATCTAATGTTGTGTTCACTTGCTCCAGTCTTTATATACCCCACTTGACTGCCCTTGGCAATATATAATTTTCAAAACTTTACACCAGCCCTCGCACACCCTCTATGCAGTTACTGTATATAAGCATTGTATGTAGACAATAAAATCACTTTTTTCTTGACAAATCGCGAGCATTCAGACTAACGGGGGAAAGCTGTACGTGACCTGATTCGGAGTGAGATGGAGTCCTTCATGTGGTCCGGGGGTATCTATCCAGGAGGTGCTGATTTGAATTTTCATTCTGAAATGGGATATTCTCGGGAGAATTTAGACTCCCTGTTTCCTGCTTCTTCCTTCAGTAGAGCTTTCTCTTCTGCGAACTCATCTGATTAGCCACCTTCTGCCTAATTTGGACTTTAGGGTTGTTTTACATGCTTTATCACATCATCCCTTCGAACCCATGGCCTCCTGTTTATTATATCATCTTTCTCTCACATTTTTTATTGCTGTTAGCTTCTGGATACCATCATTCTGATTTATTTGCCATTCATGTTCAGCAGACTCTCTATCATTCTACCTGTGTTGCTCTATCCTGACTGATCATTTATTCCAAATAAACTCTCGCTGTCAGAGAAGGAAGCAAATCTTTTTCTCCTATTCATTTACCTGGCATTTCTCATCTTTACAGTAGATTAGACCTGGTTCGTTTGTTATGTACTGTCAGGGCACTTGGATGTTATGTGGCTCGTATGGAACCATTTTGAGGCCCTAGGAACAGACGTTTTATTCATTGGGATCCTGCAGTGTTCAGGGATTTATCACCCATTACTTTAACCAGATGGCTTTGGAAGTTGATCCATATTGTGTATTTGGGCTTATTTATTAATGATTGCAATATGCTCCACATCACCTCTCACCAGATACGACACCTATTGATATCTTTGGCCGCCCGATTGAACTGTTCTCTAAAAGATATTTTGCGGGCCAGTATGTGGACTTCTCCTGACACCTTCTCCCATTACCTTCACGATTTGGCAGATTCCTCTTCGATGGGAGTTCATCTTCCCCCTTTGGCTGTGTTGACTGCCTCTACTAGATTTTAACAGGGAGGTGTGTAACATTTTATCTGACTGACAGTTATTGTTTTTTATTCTATTCTAGGGTCCCTAGTGATTTATTCTGGATCCCACTCAGTGGCGAGTGTTGCGAGTAGTGAACTATCATAAGTAAAGCTAAAGGGGATTTTGCCAGTCCCTGCTGATCTTAGAGCTGAATCAGTCGAGATCCAGTTTGCTTTTAAAAATTAGGGAATGTGATTCACCTGTTGCACTGTCTCTGAAGACCTGTTTCTCAGGACTCCTCAACGCTTATGCTTACCCCTTACTTCTACTAGTGGAGCTCGGGAGTCCTTACCACACCCAGTTCCCAGTTGTTGGGGTGGTGGACAGAGAATTTTCCTTTGGAGCGTTGAGTATTCTC